TTGGGAGGTAGATTCCTATCCGCTGCACCACCAGGGAAGTCCTTCCAGGGACTTGACCCTCCAGGGAATCTTAATTATGGCCACAACTGGTAGATAAACAGGAAGGTTGCAATTACACTCAGGGCTGGGTAAGCCCAAGCAGTGGGTGATAACAGACCCCCCCCCCACCCCGATAACAGACCACTCTCCCACCACCACCAAAATAAAGGATGCTTAACTTTTGGAATTCAGTCTGGCTGGTAGATAAGGAGATGTTTTAAAAAGATTTTTGCTTGGCCCAGATTGTCAGATTATAACATGAATCCTGCCAGTTAAAAAAAATTTTTCCTCTGCATTTCTCATGAGATATCAAGCCATTGGTTCATAATTATTTATAGCACTTTAGTGACATTGAAAGGGATTTATTTCAATGTATTCCATCTGCATTAATACTCTGCAGGGAACAGAGGGCTGCCACCACTCCTGGCTGCTAAGAAGGGAGGACCTTCGGACCTAGAGCAGGAAGAAATGAGCCCAGGGGAGAGACCCACAGGAGGCCCATGACCCCACAAGATTAACCCTGGGGAAAAGATTAAATAGGTTTAGAGAAGATTCAGGTGAGTCTGTGAATGATCAGTCCATTATTTAAGGGGATTTGGGGATGTTTTGAGAAATCCTTTGTTTCTAAGCCGGTCTCATGGAGATAGCAGAGGCAGAAGCTGAACTGCTGTGCCGTGGGCTGGGGCCAGCATAGAATTCCTGCTTTTAGCAAATAGACAAGGCAGAAAACTAACAGCAGAAGGGCAGGCGACTCTTCCAAACAGCTATTCCTGGCGATTCTTGGCAAGTGGCAGCTTTCAAAGGGACAGGTTTCATATGAAGCAAACCATGAAGATTATCTTGCCCCAGGGTAGCAGGTTATATACAATCATTTCAGTTTTATAGACAACTTTTGCTTGATTTATCAATGTGTGCGTGCATGTATGTGTGTTAACTCGCTTTAGTTGTGTTCGACTCTTATGTTGATTTAAATTCTGACACATTACCAATACCACCACTGAAAGTTGTACCAGTTTTCAGCAAACCCAATATAAAACACTCAGACATAAATAAGGTAGTGAATATTCACATTTAAATATAAAACCAAAGAGATTCTGTAAACTGTAACCTTTCCTTGGGCGCTTAAGCCTATATTATTTATTTGGTTCCTTTAATTTTTACAAGTTCTAATTTGTCAATGTTTTCTTTTGTTTATTGTGCTTTTGGTATCATATTTAAGAAGTCATTGACGAATGCTATATTGGGAAGCTTTTATCCTCTGTTTTCTTCTAAGAGTTTTATAGTTTTGTTTTGTTTTTTCAGCCACACTGCAAGGCATGAAAAAAACTTTCCCAATCAGGGATCAAGCCTATGCCCTCTGCATCAGAAGCACAGAGTCTTAACCACTGGACCACCATGGAAGTCCTCAAGCCTTTAGATTATTAATTATCCAATAAACCTCCTTTTGAGATCATGAGAGAGGGAATGAGGTAAGACAGTAGTTTGGTATCACTGTCCAATCAAGAACAATTGGAAATAAGCATCTCTGAAATGCTCTGTAAATCAATGACAGAACTGGATTTGATCCAAGACAACTCTGTTGACACAAAATTTAGAATTCTGGTTCTAATTCAGGGGGAAGGGCTGTTGTTTATCCTGGGGGAGGGGCACAGTTCCACGATTCCATGAATTGGTCCTTTCTGCCACTCCCTTCTTGGCATTATTATATTGGCTGTGGATCACATCACAGGCAGCTGTAGACTCAGGGGTCTTCTGATATCTTTTGTGTCCTGAGGAGGAGGACACAAAGATTAAAGTGCCTCCTGAGGCTTTTTGTAGTAGGCTTAGGCCTCAAGACAGTATCACCCACCCTTCCAGGGAAACCAGAAAACTAGGCCATAGGCTGGAAAGAAAACCTGCAGCTGGGACCAGAGATAATTCATGTCCTTCTTCTCTTTGATGCCTGATTTAGCAGTGGAGCACACAGGACCAAAGGGAGACCCATGAATGGAACATCATTATCAATGTCTTCAGATTTAATTCAAATGTGCTGATTTAAAAATGCTTTTTAAAACTGCTGGACCTTGATCTAAAACTCCCTCACTAAGGGGAATTAACATGGTAAAGAAAATTTAAATTTATGTTGAGTTTTATGAGGAGAATTTTGCAACATCCCCTTAAGTAGGGATCCTATGGGAATGAATTCCAAGTGCCACGCTAGTCCTGGAAGACAGGCAGGAGATGCAGGGAAGACACAAAAGTCTCCACAGCAGGCCCTCTCCTGCCAGACACCATGTAAGAAGCAGAAATGAAGGACGTAAATATTCAAGGCTGAGTCTCCAGGGCCTGATGTCCACAGCCAGGGCCTCATCCTACCACAGTCAACCTTCCAGGTCCATCATATTTGTTACAATAGTCACACCACTTAAGTATGATGCAAGCTGATTACATTCAAGTGTTAAATGAAAGATGAATTCTGAAAATCATTCACTGGGCTTTAAGATAACCAAGTTGAATACTTTGGAGAGATTTCATAAAGATGAGTAATTTTTAAGCTGTCAAACAGGATGTCAAAGATTGTGGGAAAATATAGTAAGACTCTAGAGAGACTCCACATTCAGATTACACAGTGTGACCCCTTGTTTCTATAGCTGGAAATCCTAGGCAATGCATTACAGGTGCTGCTTAGGCCAAAAAGACAAGGAACTCCAGCTAGCTGACCCAAACACCAAGAGGCCTGGAGCCTACAGCAAAAGATGCGGAGGGGGGAATGACAACTATTTGGTTAAGTTAAATGTCTGAAAAATATATGTATCATTTTTTATGATTTTCTGATTTAATAACTTTTGAAAAAAATGTATTATGACTTTCATGGATAAGGTGTTAGTTGCTCAGGGAGTCTGACTCTTGGAACCCCATGGAGTGGGCTCCTCTGTTCATGGAGTTCTCCAGGCAAGAATACTGGAGTGGGTAGCCATTCCCTTCTCCAGGGGATCTTCCCGACCCAGCGATCGAACCCAGGTCTCCTCCATTGCAGGCAGATTCTTTACTGTCTGAGCTATGATAAGAAGGCTTCTTCTATTTATTTATTTGGCCACACTGAAAACCTTGTGAGATCTTAGTTCCCTGATCAGGGATTGAACATGTTCCCTCAGCAGTGAAAGCATGGAGTCCTAACCACTGGACAGCTAGGGAATTCCCAAGAAACCTTCTTAAAATCAGATTTATTAATTCAGGTAGAACTCTGGTTATTGGATGCTTGGGGTTTCCTGGGTTCAACATATGTCAAGTTTGCTTTATTTAACATTTTTTCTACTTAACTCTCAGCTGCCACCATGAATCAGCCTGCTTCTGAGTTTACCAAGTTCAGGGATGCTTCATTATTTCATTTGTAATCTCTCTCCTGCACTGCCTTCCATTAGTTCTGTTGCTTTCAGTCTCATCTGTGCTCACTTTTTATGCAATGAGTGAACAGTAAGATATTGGAGTGAAGTGAAAGTCACTCAGTCATGTCCGACTCTTTGAGACTCCATGGACTATATAGTTCTCCAGGCCAGAATACTGGAGTGGGTAGCCTTTCCCTTCTCCAGGGGGATCTTCCCAATCCAGGGATCAAACCCAGGTCTCCGGTGTTGCAGGCAGATTCTTTACCAGCTGAGCCACAAGGGAAGCCGAAGAGTGGGTAACTGGAGTGGATAACCTATCCTTCCTCCAGCAGATCTTCCTGGCCCAGGAACTGAACTGGGTCTCCATTGGTAAAGTGGATTCTTTACCAACTGAGCTATCAGGGAAGCCGGCAACCTGCTAAGCCAGCTCACCAGTAGTCCCAGGTTGGTGGGAGAGAGGGCGGTTCAGCTCAGGCCGGTGTGGACGGTACACAGCCTATTCCTGGTGTGCAGTGGATTTCAGGAAGGAAGAGGGCAGAAGCAGGGACAACAGATCATAAGTCATTCTGCTTGCCTATGGCAAGAGTTCTGTGTGTACCTTGACACATGGGTGTGTGCGATTTTCCAGGGGGGCTTCACTTCCATTCAAATGACACCACTTGCCTGGTTCCAGACGGGACAGCCTACTTTTCCTATCTTGATCCCGACTCAGTGTAACAATATATCTGTTTCAACTGATTCTCCATCATCATGGTCAGTAGGAGCCTTTGCACCTTCATCCAATCACAAGAGTCTATTCAAAGGCTGCTGGTCATGAAGCCATTTAATGACAATTATTATGTGCTGAGCCCTGGGCTAAGCACTACATCACTCCACTTAAAACCCACAGCAACTGGCGAGATAGGTACTATAGTACCCCAAGTTACAAACAAGAAAAAACCTCTCTAAGAGGCTAAACAACCCAGCTTAGGGCTTGCAGTGAGCAGGGAAGGGGGATTTGTACCCAAGAGTTCTGATTCGAGCCCCCATCCTCAACCATTAGGGCAAACCTGTGGCTTCTACATGCAAGACACTTTCCTGAGCTGGGGAACCTGCCCAGGGAAAACCAGCATCTGCCCTCCAGGCACTCACAAACCTTCCTTGAATAGCTGAGGCACAGAATGCATCTCTTGGGGATTAAGTCTTAGTCTTCCTGATCAGGGCAGGTGCAGAGCCCATTGAAATCTCAACCAAGCAAAAACAATTTCAGATAATCCACCTGGAGGTCATCCAAGCTGGCATTTTGTGGAAGCTGATTCCTACCCCTATACTGTGCTTATGCTCACTCAGTCGTGTCTGACTCTTTTGCGACCCCATGGACTATAGCCAGCCAGGCTCCTCTGTTCATGGAATGTCCCAGGCAAGAATGCTGGAGTGGGTTGCCATCTCCTACTCCAGGGGATCTTCCTGATCCAGCGATCAAACCTGTGTCTCCTGTGTCTCCGGCATTGGCAGACAGATTCTTTACCACTGCGCCATGAAATGTTTCCTAATCAAAGAACCCTCAAAGCTCAAAAACCACCCCGAGCTGGCCTCAAACTGTCTCCTCGCACTCAGGTGGGGGCCATCTATGCAGAGAAGGAATCTGGCAGGAGCGTGGCACCTGAGACAGGAAAAGAAGTCTTGGACAGCAATCCCTTTGGTAAGGGAACAGAAGACAGCCGGAGTGTGTGGTATGTGTCCAATCATTCACACAGGGGGCTGTGCGAAGCAGCAGGATCATAGCTGGGTAGAGCGGCAGTGAGTCTTGTGGATGGAGGATTCCAGGTCTCCCCTCTACACCACAGCATGACAGAATATTTACTGCAGAGCCTGGGCCCCAGGAAGTGAGAGAAGCCCCCAGGCCCGCCTTTGCTGAGGGGGACTGAGATTCTTGCCTGAAGCCCTTCCTATGCCCACCCCACGCCTCTCACACCCACAGGCTCAGAGCTGGGTCCCAGTGGCAACTGCTAAAGCTTCAACCTCTCCAAGGTGCAGAACCTAAGATGGGGATCAGATGTCCCTAAAACTTCAGTAACTTGACTCTGACCATAGCTGAGTCTATGTCATGATCCTCTAATCTTGATTTCCAGCCTTCTTTGAGCCAAAAAGGCCTGGCTGCTCCTTTGTATAACTGAGAAGTCCCGATATCCTGGATCTGGGGGGAAGAGGTTTAAGATCCCCAGGCTATTTTCCCTGTTTTATAAACAGAGGCACAGAGGTTGAGTGAAACCCTTGTTTCATTTGTCAAAGCCGAAATTCCGAGCTTTAGGCTGTGCTCCAATTACAGACTCTTACAAAAGTTCATGTGTGAGTCAGTGGTTTTGGAATTAGAATATTCCACTGGGTCAATGTTATAGATTGTGCTTGGGTTCCTCTAACCCACAGTCGCCTATTAAGCCCACGTGCAGCTGAATAGGGGAGGAGTCTACTGTCAGGCACTCAGCTCCACTACTCACTGGCTGTGTGACCTTTAGTGAGTTACTAAACCTCTCTGTACTCCCGTTTCCCCATATATAATACTGAGATAATGGAACCTGCCTACATAAAGGGGTTGTTGTGGGGATTAAATGGGGTAATCTCTGGGGAGCACCTGAGCTTCCCAGGTGGCTCAAGTGGTAAGGAATCCGCCTGCCAGTGCAGAAACCTGGGTTTGATCCCTGGGGCGGGAAGATCCCCTGGATGAGGAAATAGCAACCCACTCTAGTATTCCTGCCAGGATAATTCCATGGACAGAGGAGCCTGGTGGGCTATAGTCCATGGGGTGGCAAAGAGCTGGGCACGACTGAGCACATACCCTAGGGAGCACTTAGAACAGGGACTCCAAGAAAATACTCAAGGAACATGAAAGGGAAAGTGCAAGTCACTCAGTTGTGTCCGACTCTTTGCGACCCCATGGACTGTATAGTCCACGGAATTCTCTAGGCCAGAATACTGGAGTGGGTAGCCTTTCCCTTCCCTAGGCGATCTTCTCAACCCAGGGATCAAACCCAGGTCTCCCACATTGCAGGCGTATTCTTTACCAGCTGAGCCATAAGGGAAGCCCAAGAATACTGGAGTGGGTAGCCTATCCCTTCTCCAGTGGATCTTCCTGACCCAGGAAACAAACCAGGGTCTCCTGAACTGCAGGCGGATTCTTTACCAACTGAGCTATGAGGGAAGCCCCATAAGATGCCATTAAGATGATGGTGCCAGGGTAACAGTGTTTCTGTAGCAGGGCTTCTCAACCCTGGCTCTAGGACTTTTGCGGCCAGGTCTTGGAGGCACTCTGGGCCTTCTTCAGCAGCATCCCTGGCCTCTATCCTCTAGATGCCAGTAGCACCCACCACCCAGTTGTGGAAATAAAAAAAGTGTCGCTAGACATCCCTGTGGCCCCAGGGGTTGAGAACCACTGTTTTATAGGAAGGCCACTAACAGTCCCAGCTGAACGTCGGATTCCTCCTTCTGAAATGCCCCTCCCATGCCAGCTCCAAGTCTAGCGGAAGCGCCTCGGCTGGCAAGTTAGGAATGGTTGGTCGGGGGGATTTTCTGGGGGTGTGGCGGGGTTGGGGGTCCTCTAAGTGGAATGATGAACAATGGGAGGAAGAAGGAGCAGAGGCAAAGGGGCTTTCCCCTCTCTGACCCTCTGACCCCCTCCACGAGGTGGTGGGGCAGGGTCTTCCTTACCCCAGGGGGAGTGTGGCCTCTCCCCTGTCGGCTCACCTGGAAAATGAAGGTAAAGTGAGTGGTGGGGACCAGGCTGGGGAGCACAGGCAGCAGGAAGGGGGAAGGCGGGAAGAGGAGGGGTGGGGAGGGTGTGGGGTGCACCGAGGGGCTCCGGCAGCGTTCTGGGTGTCATTTTGACATAGGGCAGTAGGGGACAAACTGGATTGGATTTCTCTCCCAAATTTCTTTTTTAAAAGAAATATCCATTTATTTGGGTGCACCAGGTCTTAGTTGCCACGTGTGGGATTTTTTAGTTGTGATATGTGGGACCTAGATCCTGACCAGGAATCGAACCCCTGCATTGGGAACTCCATGTCTTAGCCACTGGACCACAGGGGAAGTCCCCCACAAAGTTCTTTTTAAAAGTATACTTATGTTTAGTTGAAGGATAATTGCTTTGCAGTACGGTATTGGCCCCCAAGACTTCTTGATGTCATGACCTCGAATAAGGCCCTCCTCCCATTCTGCTTTCTTTTCACCACCTTGTTCGACCTGCATTTCCCATTTTATTCATTTATTTGTTAAATGAGCATGGCCCAAAGACCTGCTGTGTATCTAGCAATGTATTAAGCTCCTGAGGGTGTTTTTGTTTGTTTTTGAGTGATTCTTTTTCAAGGTGAGCCTAAGGAAGGTACTAATTAACTAAATGGAAGGCACAATCTGATTGAATTAAAAACCAACATATGTTCATGTACATAGCTGTGGAGCCACCCAAATCGTATACATAAATGCTGAGGGAAGGTGGAATAAAACACATTTTCTTAAACTTCTCCACAAATGGGCTTCATGAACTGATGTTAAAAGGGCAGAAGGAAAATTCAGCCTAAACAAAGGGCACCCCAATCCTGTAGCACCTCCAGGCTGCCACAGCTCTCAAAGAGCATGTGGGTCAAAGGGCATGTTCAAAAGAAGAGGCTCTTTTCACAACTGGAATAAATCTGACCCTTCTTCAATCAAACTGACTGTACTTTTTTTTTCTTGTGATTTGTGGGAATAATCCATTTCTTTTGTTCCTGTCAGGGGATCTGTGCCAGATACTAGAAACCACTCAAAAGCCACACCCTTCCGAGATGTGCAGAGGAGGTCAGACGGTCATGATTGCCATTCATTCCCCAAACCAGCAAAGCTGACAAGTGTCTCTCTCAAACTGTCCAAAGTTGAACCCCAAGAATCAAGCCAGGTTATTGCAGTACACATAACCTGTTATAGAAGCAAATGTTGGTCAAGAAATTGATTAGCTTCAAGAGTCATTCTGGAGTGGTCGCTGGGAGGAAGTGTGTTATTTATTTAGGGGAAGGTTTGGAGATGGAGGAATGGAAAGGCAATTCTTATCGGGCAAACATAAGCAGCATCATAAAACACAAAAGGATACTTTAATTAATTACGGTAGGAAAGGAATTTCTCTTTTTGTTGTCGGACAGGTCAGTTGGAGGGACAAGGATCAGATAAAACCCGAAGCTGTCCTGCTGAGCCCGAAGTCGAGTGGCCAGGAGGGGCAGGCCGGCAGTCTCTGTCCCAGGTCTCCTAAACCATCCCAACCCATACCAGCCAGAGACCTGCCCATGGTCCCGAGTGCCTGACGCCAAGCAGGTCTTCCGGACTTAAAACAGCCCCCACCTGCTGGAGATTCCGGAACAGGAGTCGATGGCCCTCGAATCGGTGCCGGGAAACCCTGATGCGGCGGCTGGCTCAGCGCTTCAGCGTCGGAGCGTGGGCACAAACGGAGCATCCCTGGAGATCCCAGGTAGGCAAGCGCGCCCAGAGTCAGGGATGGAGTTTCTGGATCAGCGTAGGAAGGACCATCTCCTGGCCCCCGGAATCCCCTATTCACAACTCCTCCTGGCCTTGCAGAACCCAGAGCCCCATCAAATCGCCAAAACACCGCAAAATAGAGTAAAATCGCGGACGCTTGCACTGCACTTTGTTTCTAGTACTGGGCTAAAGGCACTCGCCTCTGCCAGCTCTTTCTCCCCAAACCGACAGGAGATGACCTCTCTGCCCCAGGTCCATCCCGGGCAGCGGTAGCCGCGGGCTCCCCGTTTCCAGGGCCGCACCGAGACCCTCGCTCTGTCTGGTATCAGAATCTCTCGTCCAGCTCTATTGGCGGGGATGATTATCGAATTGATCCTTGAACCTCTCCAAACCAGCTTCGATCTTGAAGCCACACGGGAAGGTTCGGCCTGGCGCGGGCAGGCTCTCGACCCCCAATCAAGTCATTCCCCACCTATTCAGATAAAGCTGCGCGGCTCGAGAAGACGATTTGGCCCCTAAAATGTTCATCCTTCTCAGAACTGCGCCCTCGCACCAGTTTCCAGCGATAGAATTAACCAGAAACCCGGCCAGGATCCGGCAAATGGAAGGAAGGAGAGGCTCGGATGTGTTCGCCTGGGCCCGTACTCGCCTCTCTGTCCCGTCCCCCCTCCCCCTCTGCCCCTCCCCCCCTGCCCCCTCCCCAATCCTCACCTCCCGGTTTCAAGGCGGCGGCGAACTCGGACTCCTAAGAGAAAATCCCGCACAGTTCTAAAATAAAATTCGACTGTAATAATAAAAACACGAGAGATGTCTGTCTGGGTGGTTGCAGCCACCGGAGTCCAATAAGAAGAGCCGTGGGTTCAGGGTTTTGGGGGGAGGTCTCCCTCCATCACTCCCCAGGAGCCGGGGCCGGGGCCTGGCCCTGTCTATCCCAGGTTCACAGTCTCTGTTCGGAAGGGGCGGGGCAACGCCCCGAGGTCCATTCCCGCGGCTCCGCGGTCTCCTTGACAACCTCCCCCCTGTCCCCCACCCCAGTCCTCTTAATAAAATGGGTGTGGCCCGCAGCACCCGAGGAAACCTCTTGCCCCCTCCTCACAATCTCCCTCCTGGCAAAGCAACAGGGCGTGAAGCGAAGAGGGGCCCCGCCTTTGAGCTCCCACCGGGGGTCTCCGGTGCTCCTAGGTGTACAGCCTGGTGGGGCGTCGCCCCCGGACGCTCCAGGTATGGGGAGGGGCATCTTTCCTCTGCGGCCACCGGCAAGGCGCGCAGGGACCTCGGATCCCACCCCTTCGGCCCCTCGGAGGCTTTCTGGCGCGCGCCCCGGTTCTGGGAGGGGGCTGCGCGGGGTCACGCCCGGTCCATGCGTGCACCCCGGGAGGACTAGAGTTCCTCGACCCCGGCGAGCTCCGAGATCTAACAAAGGGCTCGGAAATGAGGGGCAAAAAGCGGGGGGGGGGGGGGGGCGGGAGTTCTGGTTAAACACCTTCATAGAATAAAAGCCAAAAATCAGGGCTGGCAACACAGACCACGTAAGCCCTACAAACAAAGCAGTCAGGCCCCCGAGTAAGATCTTGGGTGAACGCCCCGGTACCCATGCAGCAAAATGCCAAGATTTCAACGCTAATTGCTCCCCCTCCCTTTAATGACAGTCCCCGCCCTGTCCTCCAAAGCTCAGCCATCCGGCTTGGCATGGCACTGTAAAGACATGACACACCGCAAAAAGATGGCACCTCGCGATCGGAGGGGAAAAAAGCAGGGGTGGAAGTGGGAGGAGGCACAGCCTACCCTCCCCCTCCTCGCCCACCCGGGTCCACACCCACTGCCGCAGTGAGGGGCGAGCCCTGCGCGCCAGCCCCGCGCCTCCGGCAGGGAGCGCACACGCCGGACGCCCGGCGCAGAGCGCAGAGAAAGGGGCCCGCCCCGAAATGCACCTGCCGCCCCTGAGCGGGTCTGTGCGGGGCTGCGGCTGTGCGCACCCTCGAGCCGGGATCTGCAGCTGAGAAGTCCTTCCATATCCCAAGTCCAGGGGACCCCTGCCTTGTTGAGCCTCCACATTGGGAGCCGCGCACTGCGTTCTCTCGGGCACTGCGCTGCTCGCGTCTCGGTGCCAGGCGCGCGCAGGGGGAAGGGCAACTAAAGTGACAGCGCCAAGACCCCTCCCCATCTCCCCGATTTCACTCCCAGCCCCCAAATGTCCCCTGCGGGTTTCTGAAGGAGGAAAACGAGAAGAGGGTGGGCCACCGCCTTAAACCAAGGGCAGCGAAAGCCCAGCGGGAATCAGGGCCGGGGAGGGGTAGGGAGGGGCAGGCAGGGAGTCATCTTTTCTAGAAACCGATCAATACCTTGTCCGCAAACCGAGGCAGAGAAATTGGATTACAGGTTAGGTTTAGGGGGTCGTCATTGGACCCCCTCCACCCACCCCCACAGAGTCACACGCCCATTGCGGCAAAAGACGGTGTTCGAGCGTGCATGGCAGCCCCCTCCCCCAGATCACGGCCATCCGCGCCCCACCCTGTGGGTACAACCTCCGCCGTGTCCGCGTGAAGTGGGTCGTATAGACACCCCCCCCCCCACACACACACACAGGACATACACACACACGCGTGCATCCCTTGCATGGGTCCCTTTCCAAGTCACCCCAATCCCAGCGCCGGAGCGCAGAGGGCTCAAGGAGGGGCCGTCGCCGTTGCTCCCGACCAATGCCCACCTCATGACACCCATCTCTGAGGCGAGGGGCGGCGGTATGCAGGTGCAGCCGGGAGGACGGAGAGGCAGATTTCGGAGCCTCGCACTTACCTGATAGTCGACAGAGGGCGAGGACAGTAGAGGGTGGCAGAGGAGAAAGTGGCTGTGGTGGCGGCGGCAGAAGGTGGGCGGCGGCGGCGGCACGGCTGCTGGTGCCTGAGCTGGTGGGTGGCCGAGACTGCGAGCGCGCGCGCGAGGGGAGCGCGCGCTCCAGAGGCTGGCGGGCGGCGCAGGCGCGAGCAGCGGGAGCGCGAGCCTCCCCAGGGGAGGGGCGGGCCGTGAGGCCTCGGTGTGCGTATTCTCCTCCGGCCACCAGTGGGCGCGCGCGAGCGCCCCCAAGGTTCGGCCCTTCCCCGCCTCCCTGCTCTCTCCTCTCGGCGCTTCCAGTCCCGGGTCTCCCCTCCTCCCACGACTTGGGCCGCGGCGCTGACCGCAACGCGCACGCGCGTTCCTTGGCGCACGCGCACTCTGGGTCTCCTGTCGCGGTTGGAGCCTTTGTCTTATCTGAGGGGTCTCCTCCCTTGGGAGGGTGGCTTGGTTGCTCCCTGGGTCGAGAAGGGGGTGGGTGCTCCGCCCCCAGGTCCGCTGCCCCTTTTTTCCCCCTGACGTCTTGGAGTGATGTCCTATCTCGGGAAGGTTCTGGGCGGGTTTCCAGATGGCCATCCCTCCAGTCCGTCCACCCCAGACCTCAGAACCTCCCCGGCCTTGCACATCTTATTGCTGGCACCCTGACCCTCCCCTGAATTTTCCGAAATGATTCCCCTTGTTGCAGATCAGTTTCCTTGGATCTGCTTTCTTTTCACCTTTTCTTGTTATTGATCAAGGTGAATTCTTGGCAGATCTACTTCAATCTGCTGAGACAACTGAGTTAAGGCTGACTTACAACTGAGTTAAGGCTAACTCAGTTGTAATAAGGTAGTGCAAGGTTTTGAAGGGTTTTGGTTTTTTTGTTTTAACAGGGATTACTCACATCTATTATCTTCACCCTAAGAATAAAATCTTAAATTAGATGAAGTTTCACTTACCGCGTTACAGAACATTTTCACATATAAAGTTATTTTTATCTTGTTTGTCAAACACTGTTACACTGTATAGAGTTTGAGATCTGAATTTCTAATTGCCTGCTGGAGATTCTCACCTGGATAACACTGCTTCAGATTGAAACTGACCGGAGGCTTTCATCCTCTCAGTCAGCCAATCTCTAGGCTTTGTCCTTAGCTGGTCTCCCCAACATCTAATTTAAGCCCTGACAGTCAGTGGGAGGCTTTAAATGTATGAGGGCTTGGGGACTGCTGTCTTGTATGAAAAGGACAAGAATTTGTCTTAAAGCTTTTATTTGCATAGCTCACATTTTTTTCAAAGCAATGTTGTGTATTATGTGCTAAGTCACTTCAGTCGTGTCTGACTTTTTGCGGCCCTATGGACTGTAGCCCACCAGGCTCCTCTGTCCATGGGATTTTCCAGGCAAGAATTGTGGAGTGGGCTGCCATGCCCTCCTCCAGGGGATCTTCCCAAGCCAGGGATTGAACCCATGTCTCTTACGTCTCCTGCATTGGCAGGTGAGTTCTTTACCACTCGTGCCACCTGGGAAGCCCTTGTATGTTATAGATTAATACAAAAAGAAAGTAACTAAAGATTGTCTATTCACAGGGGTTTAATTAGTATCTGCTGGGAGCACTGAGTGGGTGGTGTAGATGGGAGGAAGTTTCTTCAGTTCTGAGTCTCTTGAATTGACCCTTTGGCTGTTCCAACTGCCACCTTGACCCTAAAGACCATTTTCCTGGTTCTGAATATGTAGTGATCTTACTGATCTTCTCTGTTTCTATGTCAGCCCACCCTGCCTTCTAACCTGCTTCTAACCGCTCCATAAGTGAAATTAAACTCCTTCTCCTCAAACTCCTGTGCATCCCCTTCCCCAGTCCCTACTCCGCCCCCCCAGCACATCATCTGAGCCTCTGTCCTCTTCAGTTTTTTCTCTCATCTACTCTATGGCCAACTGGGCTTGCCTGACTGAACTCTTACTTTCCTCTGGGGTTCTCCTTTGCCTGCAAAGTCCTTACTCTTTCTCCATCCACCAATATCATACCTAACTTTCAAACCCTAGTTCAAATTTTACCAAAGCCTCCCCTAATCATTCCAACTGGAAGGGATATTTCCAACCTGGCCGAGTATTTGAACAACCAGAAGGGCATTTGTTCTGCCTAACTGTGTGCTCAGCAAGGTTTTTGTTTGTGACTGTGTCATGCATCTTACAGTATTTAACCTGGGTCCATGGCAGTGAAAGCACCAAATCCTAACCTAAAGCACCAAATTCCCAGACCACCAGGGAATTTCCTAGGCAAGATACTTTGATGAGACACCTACATCCTCTCTCAAAGCCACCGTAGGGGAATATCTATGATATCTATAAACTAGATTAGAAAATTAGTTGTTAACATTACAGACATGCTCCACCATACAAAAGGAACCACATCCAAACTCCGCTAAATGTCAGTTCCCTGTTGCATTTGAAATGTGAATTGATCTACAGGCAGATTTGTAAACACTGCAATTATAAAGGGAGGCAGATCCATGCCTTAATTTCTCTAGACTTACATCTCTTACATTACACTGCTTAGGCCCATATTTTCCTTTC